TTTTTTTAAAAATTCTTTTTCTACATCTGAGATGATCACGTGATTTTTGTCCTCGTCTCTGTTACTATGGTGAGTTGCATTTATTGATTTGCATATGTTGACCATCCTGCATCCGTGGGGTGCATCTTACTTGGTCATGGTGTGTGATCTTCTTGATGATTTGCTGCATTCTGTTTGCCGGTATCTTGTTGAGGATGTTTGTATCTATATTTATGAGGGAGACTGACCTGTATTTGTCTTTCTTGGTTAGGTCCTTCATTTGTTTGGTATCAGGAATGAATTTGGGAGTACTTTTTTCCCTTTAAATTTCATTAAAGAGTTTGAGAAGTAGTGATTTTAGGCCTTCCCTAAATTTCTTATAGAATTCAGTAAAGAACCCATCAGAGTCTGGGTTTTTCTTTGTTCGCAGGCCTTAATTACATCTTCAATTTCACTGATATTGGTTTATTTAGAATTTTTGTATCTTCTTGATTCGGCTTTGGTAATTCATATATCTAGGAATCTGTCCATTTCTTCTGCATTGTCCACCTTATTGGAATACAAGTAGTCAAAGTAGGTAGGTACTGACAGTCTTTTGGATTTCTACAGGGTTCGTAATGATTTCACCCTTTTAATTCCTAACTGCATGGATTTGAGTCTTTTCTTTCCATTTTTTTATAAGGTTGGCTAAGGATTTGTCAATTTTATTTAACCTTTCAAAGAACCCTTTGATTCACTGATTCTTTGTATTGTTTTCTTACTCTCCATTGCATTAATTTCTGTTCTGATCTTTATCATTTTCTCCCTTGTATGAGCTTCGGTTTTGACTTGCTCTTCTTTTTCTAAAAGCTTGAGGTTCAACATTACATTATTTGAGCTTGCTGTTTTCTGATACGGGAATTCACCACTATAAATTGCTTTCATTGTGTCCCATGAGTTTCAGTATGTTGTTTAATTGTAGAAAGTATCTAATTGTTTTCTGTCTTTTAGAGACAGGGTCTCACTTCACAGTTCAGGCTGGCCTTGAGTTCACTTTGTAGCCCAGGCTGGTCTTGAATTTGCAACAATCCTCCTGCCTCAGCCTCCCAGTGCTGGGATTACAGGAATGTGCTACCATGCCTGGCTTCTAATTTCTTTTTTAATTTCTTTTTAGTCTTTCTTTTTTAGTGCCAGGGATCAAGCTAATGACCTTACGCTTACCAAGCAAGCTCTTGAGCCACTGAGCTAAATCCCTGGCCTTTTAAAAAAATTTCATTTGTGACCCATCAGTTGTTCAGGAGGGTGGTACTTAATTTCCATGTGTTCAAGAAGTTCTTGTAGCTTCCTGTGCTATTGATTTCCAATTTCATTGCACTATGGTCTGATAATATGCCTGGGATAATTTCAATTCCTTTGCATTTAAGCATGTTCTATGAGCTACTTTGTGGTCCACTTTGGAGACCACTCCGTGTGAGAACATGTACTCTGATGTGATGGGGTGGAACCCTGTACGCATCTACTAAGTCCACTGTTCAAAAACTTGGTTCAAATCAGTTACTTAGAGAATAAGACATTTGCACTTAATCACAAACACAAACCTTTCTCTTCAATGAGCTCAGAGAAATCAATAACTGTCTTAACTATCAGGTATATAGTTTCTTTCAGCTGTTCACACAAGTGAGACAATAGAATCTTTACACATGCGTGTCTGATTTATTCCATTAATGAATATGGTCTCAAGTTGCATCCATTTACCTGGAAATGTCTCCAGTTTACTTTTCTTTATGACTGAGTAGTACTCCATTGTATAAAATACCACATCTTTTTTTATACATTCCTCAGCAATGGGCACTTAGGTTGTTTCCAAAACCTAGTTATTACAAGTTGTGCTACTATAAACATGGGTGCTCATATGTTACTGTGATATGATGTTTTTAATTCTTCTAGAAAGACACCCAGAAGAGGAATAGCTGGGTCAAATGGGACCTCCAATCCTAGTTTTTTGAGGACTCTCCACACTGACTTTCATAGTGGCTGCACCAGTCTGCACTCCCACCAACACTGGAGAAAGGTTCCTTCTCCCCACAACCCCTCCAGCATTTGTTGTTGCTTGATTTCTTTTTCTTTTTTTCTTTCTTTCTTTCTTTTTTTCTTTCTTTTTTTTTTTTTTTTTGTGGTACCAGGGATTGAACTCACGACCTCACGTTTGCCAGGCAGGCGCTTATGCAGCTGAACTAAATCCCTGGCCATTGCTTGATTTTTTGATGACAGCCATTCTTTCTGGGGTGAGGTGGAATCTCAGTGTAGTTTTTAATTTGCATGTCTCAAATGACCAGAGATGCTGAAATTTTTTTGTCATATATTTATTTGCTGCTCATATTTCTTCGTGTGAGAAGTATGTATTCATCTTAGATGCCTATTTTTGGATTCGGTCTTTAAATTTGGGAGGACTGATTTTTTGAGTTCTTTATATGTTCTTTTTTTTTTTGGTCTTTTTCCTTTTTTTGGTACCAGGGATCGAACTCACGACTGCCTGCTTGCAAGGCAGGCGCTTGTGCCGCTGAGCTAAATCCCAAGGCCCCTCTTTATATGTTCTTGATAGTAATCCTTTATCTGAGGAGCAGCTGGCAAGCATTTTCTCTCAGGTTGTGGGCTGTCTCTTCACTCTGTTGGTTTCTCTTACTGTGCAAAAGCTTTTCAGTAAGCTGAAACCCCAGTTGTTGATTCTTTGTGACAGTTCCTATGCCGTTGGGGTTTTGTTCATAAAGTCTTTGCCTACACCAATAAGAGTTTTGCCTACGCTATCTTCTAGCAGATTTTTTGTTTCTGTTATTTGTCTGTTTGGTACCAGGGATTGAACTCACAACCTCACACTTACCAGGCAGGTGCTTAACCACTGAGCTAAACCCCAGCGCCCATTGTTTCTGTTCTAATATTTAGATCTTTGATCCATTTTGAATTTAGCTTAGTGCATGGTGAAAGAGACGGGTCCAACTTGAATCTTCGGCATGTGCAGACCAGCCCGCAGTCTGACTGGGGAGAAGCACCCTGATGACCTCCCGTGGCGACCTGGGGCACACAGCGGGAGAGGGAATGGAGGGACCAGACTGAGCCCAAGGGAAAGTGGCGCGAGGGAGGAAGCGGCAGCAACCACAGAACAGCAACCAGGCAGAACTGTGACAGAAAAGCAATGCATAAAGGGCCCCTGTCCCCAGGCCAGGCCCCTCAGGCACAGAACATGGCCGTGGCCTGTGTCCAGCCTCATCTGCATGGAGGAGTTTAACCCCCGCTCCACCCCCACCCCCTTGAGGGCCATGACACTTCCTCTATGGCCTTACAAGGTCCAAGCACCCCTCCCGACAGGCGGGTGGCCCTGACTCCTGTCAGGTCCTAGCTATGGCCCCATTTGCAAGCCCAGGAGCTTGAGTGACCCCTTACCTCCCCACAGCACCCCCACAATCTCACCCTGTAGTGGACCTGTAATTCTTTTGCTTATACTTGTTACTTTTTTTTTTCCTTTTGTCCAGGGTCTCGCTATTCAGTTCAGGCTGGCCTTGAACTCACTTTGTAGCCCAGGCTGGTCTCAAACTTGCAATGATCCTCCTGCCTCAGCCTCCCAGTGCTGGGATCACAGGCGTGCACACCATGCCCAGCTCTACTCTTTTTAATAAGTCTTATTCTTGCTACTCTTTCTGAGTGTTCTGCTCAATTCTTGGGGACACCAAAAGCCCAGAAACAGTTCCCCAAAGTGTCCCCCTTCAGAGAATAGCTTCCAACACAAGTCCCTAAAAGCAAAAGGGCAACATTCCCTTCCGTGCTCCCACATGTCTGCGGCCACATGGCTGCTCTCAGTTCTCAGGACCCCTCAGTGGTCCCCGAGGTTGTCTCGGTGAGGGAAGCAGGAGGTGGCCTGTGACTGAGTGTCTGCCGTGTGCTGGAACCTTCCTGGGGTCATCCCGGGTCTTATTCAACCCTGGCCTTATAAACTGGGAGCCTCAGGCCTCTCAGGTAGATAAGGAAACCGAAGAGGAGGGATGCCCAGAGCGGCCGCGTCTCTGCAAAGTGCTGAGCGTAGAAGCCAGGCTGGTCTGCATCCGAGCTGTGCTCCAACCAGCCTGACCTGAGGGAACGGGTCGGGGCTGCTGTGGTGACCACGGTCAGGGAAAGGCCTGCGTTTGCACAGCTGGGCACTCTGGGGCAGCTGTGCCCTTCCCAGCCTCCAGTGCTGGTCTATCTGTCTGAGCCTCCTTGTCATCTGCCAGGACTGGGGAAAGGTGACCTTGAGGCAGGGGCCAGCCTGGGACACAGTCGGAGGGGCAGTGGTCTCGGCTGCTGAGTGGGCTGGGAAGGAAGCGGGCAGAGCCAGCCGGGTGAGGGCAGAGCAGGGAGCCCCAGAGGGAGACCCGGCCTGCCCCTGCCTGGAGTCCCCCTCTGACCCCACAGCCTTTCTCAGTCGCTCCTGCTCTGTCCCTCACGTGGGCTTGGGTGGGACCAAAGGCAGAGCCTGGACCAGGGAGCAAGAGAGGTGCTGGACACAAGGCCATCCTGGGTCCCTCACTGCCCCGGCCCTACCCAGGACAGCTTGGACACTTGAGCCTCTTCTGAGGCCAGGTGTGTCCCAAGCTCTGTGCATAGGATCACATACAATGTAGACACTTTTAGAACTAGGTGCACGTGTGTGCCACTGTGTGCTAGGTCAGCCGCATAGGTCTTGGAATTCTCCTGGGTTGACGGATAAGGAGACTAAGTCAAACCAGTTAGGTGATTTGTCCAGCAAATACATGACTTGTAGAGCTAAGTGGTCAAGGTCAGCGCTTGTTCTTCCATGCCAGGGATGGAACCCAGGGCCCCAGGGGCAGTGGGCAAGCTCTCTACTACTGAGCCGCGCCGGGCCCAGGAGCGCGCACTCTGAGCCGCACCGCAGCATCGCGCACTCATGCGCGCACACATGCTGGGCTCCCCAGGGTCCACCCCACCAGCTTATCTCCCCCTCCCCCGCCCCAGGCGCTGAGGGTGCAGAAGGCGGCTCACGTGGGGACGGGGCCCCTTTTAAGGCGCCACTGCCCCAGTGGCCACGTGTTCCACCAATTGACCGGCCAGCTGCCACCCACACCCGCTGTACCTCTCGCCATGCAGAAGGTCCTTGTCCTTGTGCTCGTCGCCCTTGCCATGGCCTATGCTGCTCCTGACCCCCGAGGACTCTTTTTCAACCTGGTAAGGGGTCTTCCAGGGAACTGTCCCAGCCCCCAAGCTTGGGTCTTGATCTCTGCTGTCCCCAGCTGGGTTGCTTTCCTGGGTCACCCCATGAGAGGCTGGTGGTCACCTCCTGGGCTCCAGTGTGGGTGCATTCGGAGCAGCATGACACCGCAGACGCACCCTGGACTGGCGTCCTGACCCCTGCTTCTTATGCTGGCTGCCCTCGCCACTGCAGGGTGACCACGGCCAGGCCCCAGTATTCCCATCTGGAACATAACTAGATGGCCCCAGAAGGGGTTGCCAGACTGATGGGCTCCCATGGTCCTTTGAGGAGCCCCTGGAAGTCAAGGACCATCACCCTGCAGGGACCCCATGTCCACCCCACAGCTTTTCTGGTAGAATCCCTGGGGCATTCTGCGCCCTTCCCGCCCATCCTCAGCCCGAATCCAAGAGCCCTCGATGCCTCGCCCGCGGGGAGACCCTGGCTGCCTGACCTCCGCAAAGCAGAGGCCCTGCTCAGAGACCACCGGGGCAGGGACTTCACTCGTGGCCGGAATGGGCGGGCAGAGTCCAGGATGGCCCTGGGGTGGTGGGGGTCTTACGGGGAGGGACAGGGCCCTCAGCTTCCACAAAGGACTCTGCACAGAACTGCCATCGGGGAGCGCGGGCACACGGGCCTGTGGTCTCAGCACACTGGGAGCCTGAAGCTGGAGGGTCACAAGTTTGATCCCAGCCTGGGCAACTTAGCGGCTTTGTGAGACCCTGTCTCACAAGAAAAAAATGTGAAAGTCTGGGCATGTGGTTCAGTTTGGAGACCCCATTTGGAGGGTCATCTACTCAGAATCCAGATGGGAACCCCAAGGCTTAGGGCTGTGCCTGGCCAGGAGCCCAGAAGTTGGTGGGGCACCAGGATTAGTTCTGGGGGTCAGGTTGAGCCCAGGGCTGCTGTCTCTCACCACACTGCTGACACCTCATGGGGGGGAGGGTGGAGAGGGCCCCCAGAGGCAGGGGCGGGATACCTCTCCCCCACACCCCACCCACTCCCGGAGGAGGCTGGGGGGGGGAGCACCGGGTCTGGGATGAGAAGGGGCCCAGAGACAGGCTGAGCTCCCCGCTGACCCTGCAGGACGACGGCGAGCTCTGCCTGAACAGTGGCCAGTGCAAGAGCCAGTGCTGCCAGCAAGACACCCTCCTGGCCCTGGCCCGCTGCACCCGCAAGGCCAGTGAGAACAGCAGCTGCTCCCCCGAGGTGGGCACCGGGCCACGGGCTGGGGCGGGAGCGGAGCCCCCTGCAGGCCCAGTGTCGGGGGGCTGAGAGAGGGCAGTCATCAGGCTTCCGAGCACTGTCCCACCCCACCTCTTAGGATGGGGGGCAGGGGTCTCTTACCCCCACTTAGGGCTGGGTAAGTAGAGGCCCCCAGAGAGGCCAGAGAGGTGGAGTCCTTAAGAGTAAGCGAGGCAGAGTGGAGATCAGAACCCAGGTCTCCCAGTGCCCTCTGGAAAGCCATCTGCTACTGGTTCCTGGCTGGGCAGGGGACAGACAGACAGAGCCCAAAGCAGCCCTGACAGCGCTGGCCCTGTCTCTGCAGACCATCTATGGAGTTTACTATGTGTGTCCCTGTGAACGGGGCTTGACCTGTGACGGGGACAAGACCATCATTGGCTCCATCACCAACACCAACTATGGCATCTGCCAGGACCCCAAGGATAAGAAATGAGGCCACCACCCTGCCAGCCCCAGCCCCGGCCAGCTCCCCTCCTCACACCCTCCCCGACTGGCCGCCACCTTGGCCAGCACCTGTGTCACCTAGCTGGGCTCTCCACTATTAAAGTCACCTGCAACTCCCACCTCCTGTGTGCTCTCCTGGGGCAGCCCCGCCCGATGGATCCTCACCAAGCCCGGCCCGCCAGGACAGTGTCCGCTGGGCCAGGACATAGAGGGAGGGGTCTGGGCTGACCAGGCTGGGGACTGGGGACAGGTGGTGAAGCAGGTCCTTGGCCATGTCTGGGAGAATCACCCTTCCTTTGGGTCCCCTCCTCATCCCTGGGTTCTCAGAGTGGCAGACAGGCACACACAGCCCTCTGCTGGAATGCTAGAGGGACCTTGGTCACTCACCCTTCACCCTGCCTCAGAATTCTCTGGTGCCCTGAGCTGGATTCTCTTTGCCATATTGTCAGAGGTGACAGCTCCCTGACCCTAGCTGTGTGGCAATGGGTGAGACCACTAGCAATTGCTATGGCATTAATCCATCCAGCAGGTCTCCGTCGTGGTCCAGGGAGGGAGAATTTATCATCTCCATTTCATGGTCAAAGAGACTGAGTTTCAGAGATGTTAAGGAACTTCCTCAGGGCCTCATAATTAGAAAAAGGTAGCCTGGTTGTGATGACGCACATCTGTAACCCTAGCACTCTGGGAGGCTGAAGCAGGGGAATTACAAGCTTGAGGCCAGCAAAGACAACTTAGCAAAGCCCTGTCTGAAAATTTTATTATAAAAACAAAAGAATGGCTGGGGATATAGCTCAGTGCAAAAACCCTAAATTCAGTCCCCAGTACTGCCAAAACAAAGTGGGGGAGGAGACCACATCAACCCCCCTAGGGGTTGCCATTCTTTCTCAACATTCGCACTGAGAAAATGAATGAAAATTGTACAGAACTTAATTTTTGCTTATATAAAAATTGTCTTCCCTTGGATCCATAGCACACCAGTTGCCTAGGGCAGTAGTGAGGTCCCCATCATCACAGTGTCCAAAGGGGAAGCTCACCCGGGTGAGGATGCTGGAGAAGAAATTCTTACAAAGGGTGGGGGACAGTTGTTTTAATCTCTTTCCTCATCACTGGGACAAAATACCCAACACCCGAGACTTACAGGGAGAAGGTTTACATTGGCTCCCACTTCAGAAGTTTCAGTCTGGCACGGTTGGCCGGCCCCAGGCAGAAGGGTCTGGCAGAAGAGAGCTGCTCACGTCATGGCAGCCAGGAAGTGGAGAGATACAAGGGAGGAGCTGGGAAGGGAGAGAAACCCCTCCTAGGCACCCCCCACCCCGTGACCTTCTGACCAGGCCCCATCTCTGACAACAAGCCAGCTGCAAACCTCCATAGTCAAATCACTTCCCAAACACATGAGGACTTGGGATCGTGTCAGGTCTGAACCATAACAAGGTCAAACCATACCTGAAACCCCGACCTCAAACTCTTACGCCATGTGCTAAGGCAGGACACACAGCAGAGGGAGGACGCAAGGGGGTGAGGAGAAGAGCAGTTATCCTTGCTTCCTTCTTATCCTTCCCAGACAGACAGACTTCTTTTCATGTAACAGTGGTCCAAACCTGGTCTTCTGACCTCTTCTAGCTGCAAGGGAGGCGGGTACAGCACAGGGAAGGGATGGCTGTGACTGATTAATCATCTTCTCTCTTCTGGGCACGATGCTGCCCAAGCAATGCTGGGATTCCACCAGCAAAGGAGGGGACAGTGCTGTCAGGAAAGTAAATGACAGTGCCCACCACACATGAGCTATCGCTCAGCAATGAAGGCTTTCATTATCTTATTCCAAGGGTCTCAGCCCTGAGGCAGCGGCGGGTCACACTCCTTGGTGCCAGACTCAGCACTGAGATAGATCTTCAGCTGTGTCTTCTTCATGCATCTACAGAATGCCTACAGCATCTCAGATCATGCAGATACCATGAAAATAGTCCTGGGTTCCAGGGCGGGATAGGAAACTGAGGTCTGCAGGAGCAAGTGGCCAAGTCTCTATCTCCCTCTGTGAAATCCTTCCTGCCTAAGACAACTGGAGTGGTCCGTGTTTATCTGCACACTCTTCCACCTGGACCAAAGGGAGCACTTTGTCACTGGGGTTGTTTGAAATCACCCTCCCCTCACACACCTGGAACAGAAGGGTCTCCCTCTTCTAATTCCCCAAAGATGTCCCCAAGTTTCTCCTTGCTCCTGACGCTGTCCCACTGTATATACTAGCCCCAGAAGCTTCCCAGCTTGAGGTCAGACCTGCTGGCAGTCTCTGCAGGAGCGAGATGTCTGCAGCCTCGATCTGCAAAACTCCCATAATGCCAGGCCCCAGGGACCCACGCCGAGGTGGTGGCTGTCACCCAGCGCAGGCAGCTGCTGAACACTTCAAATGTGGCTATTCTGACTGGAGAGAGGCAGGTTTAAAATACAAACTGGGTGGGGCTGGGGATTTAGCTCAGTGGCATAAGCACCTGCCTTGCAAGCAGGCAGTTGTGAGTTCAATCCCTGGTACCGATAAAAAGGAAAAAGACAAAAAAAAAAAAAAAAATACAAACTGGGTGTTAAAGTATGAGTACCAGGGGCTGGGGGTTTAGCTCAGCGGCATAAGCGCCTGCCTTGAAAGCAGGCAGTCGTGAGTTCGATCCCTGGTACCGATAAAAAGGAAAAAGACAAAAAAAAATAAAATAAAATAAAATAAAGTATGAGTACCAAAAAAGAATGTAAACCGTCTCACGCAATGTTGAACTTGATGACAACTCTCAAGCTAAAAATATATTCTAAAAAGACATCAAAGGCAAATTTTTTTTTTTGTGGTTTTCGTTTTTATCGGTACCAGGGATCAAACTCACGACTGCCTGCTTGCAAAGTAGGCGCTTATGCCGCTGAGCTAAATCCCCAGTCCCTAATCAAAGGCAAATTTTGTCAAAAGGCAAATTATGTTCCCCTCGGATCAAATATTCAATATGGCAAAAAACTTAAAATGTCCAAAAAAAAAACACTTAAATGTCCCCAAATTAATATTTTTAAAAGTTCTATATATTGGGGGCTGGGGATTTAGCTCAGTGGCATAAGCACCTGCCTTGCAAGCAGGTAGTCGTGAGTTCGATCCCTGGTACCAAGAAAAAGGAAAAAGACAAAAAAAAAAAAGGTTCTATATATTGAAGTTGTACCATATAATGCTCTGATATATTTACTTCCTACATCTGAACAGTCCTGTGTACAGCAACCTCCATCCGATGCGGTTGTGTTTCCTTCTTCCACAGTAAGAGCACCTCACATCTCCTGCTTAGCAGACGTCTGCATCGGTCACAGGAGCACCGGTCCACAGGGAGGCTTGGACGTCACTGCAGCCGTGCACCCTGTGACCGACCTTCTGTTTCCCTCCCTCCTATAAACTCTGATTTACTTTACATTTTCTGTAAAAATTTGTTTTTCTTTCTTTTTATTTTTGAGACAGAGTCTCATGATGTAGTTCAGGCTGGCCTTAAACTCACAGCAATCTTCCTGCTTCAGCCTCCAGAGTACTGAGATGATAGGTGTGCACCACCATACCTGGAGCTCCTTTTTTGTAAGGCTGGGTGATACCACTGTGTAAATGTATTACAGTCTCTCTATCTGTCTGTCTATGGCCTCTGGGTTTTGGCATAGCTGGACCATTGGAGAAAATACTGCCACAAGGCTGGGGATGCAGCTCAGTGGTAGATTGCTTGCCTTGCATGTAAAAGGCCCTGGATTCAACCCCCAGCAGCCTGAGAGAGAGAGAGAGAGAGAGAGAGAGAGAGACAGACAGACAGACAGAGACAGACAGAGAGAGACAGACAGAGACAGAGAGAGAGAGACAGAGAGAGACAGACAGAGAGACAGACAGAGAGACAGACAGACAGACAGACAGAGAGACAGAGAGAGAAATTGCTGCCACAAACATGGCAGCGTGGCTGTCTCAGGAGGCAGTGATTCCTTCCCTGGATGCTGGGTCACGTGATTGTCCAGGTCTCCACTCATCCACGGTGGTGGCCTCCATCTGCACTCCCGCCCATGACACACAGCCGTCCCGTCTCCTCCTGGGGAGCACCATCCTCACTATTCTGGTGAAAGCCGTGCTCGGGGAGGAGGTCATCTCTCACCACTCTCATTTGCATTTCCCAGATGACCCAAGGCATAAACCCCTTTTCACTTTTCACTGGTCATCTTTATGTCTTCCTCAGAGAAATGTCCTCGCAGGTCCTTTGCCCATGTTTAATCAGGTCATTTACTCTTTGGTTGTCGCATGGTGTGAAATCCTCATATACGTTGGCTATTAACTCCTTATTGCATACGTGGCTCTCTAATATTTTTTCCCAATCTGAAGACTGTTTGGCCACTTTGTTGATGATTGCCCGTGGTGAGTTTTTTTAATTTGATGAAGTCCCATGTGTTTATTTTTGCTTTTGCCTCCTGTACTGTCGATGTCGCTCCCGGCCGGCAGGAAGGACACACGACAAAGTCTGGCAGTGGACAACCTTTTCTTTTATTTTTCTTCTCCGTACAGCCTGCCCTGGGATCGCTCCCAGCCGAAGCCTCCTCTGGTCCGCTCCCCGCGGCTCCTTCCGGGCTTCGCTCCGAAGCCTCTACCGGTCCGCTCTCCGCGGCTCCTTCTGGGCTTCTACTTCCGGGCTTCTCCTTCCCCCCCAGGGGTGGCACCAGTATATATACGGATACAGTGTCCAATCATGTTAAAGTAAGCAAGGCAAGCTGATTGGCTAACATCATCAGTTGCCAGGCAGACTATATTGTTGAGCGGGTTGCTTACGCGGTAAGCAGGAAACTAACGTGCTCGATGGGAGGGGTAATCTACCTCAGGCTTTACTCTTTACTACAGGCCTCACGTCCGCCAAGTGAGGCGACCGGGCTCGGGGCTGCGGCTCCCAACACTGTACATTTGGTTTCATGTCCAAAAATCCTTGCCAAGGTCAGGGTTATACAATTTCCCCCTATGTTTTCTTCTAGGTGTTTTATGATTTTTAGATCTTTCACTTAGCTCTCGGATCTATTTTGAGTCAATTCTTGCATCTGGTGTAAGATAAGGGTCTGGCTTCATCCTTTTGTATTTGGACCCCCAGTCTCTAGC